CAAAGCTGGGCGGTTTAGGGGAATGGGATTACTAGCCTTGTGCATTCCTTTGGAAGGACAGGCAGGAAGATGGCCAAAGTGCCTAGAGACATTTAAACCCAAATCTGTAATCCCAGGACTGAGGAACATCAGGAAGTAAAGAACCATTTCATGTGAGACAGTCCATGAGGAAGGTAATGTAAAAAATTAAGTATCTGCAAGTACAAGAGACTTCTGAATTACTTGAATACATGTATATACACATACTGCGGTATGGAGTACATGCATACATGTATGCATACTGCTGTATGGAGTACAGGTTGTCTATGTATACTGCTGGAGGAGCATAAGAAACCGTCGATTTGCACCTAGATCAAAAGAACACATTTCTTAATGGGAAACAGAGCCTGTTGTGAAAAACTAGGAAGGTTCTCCCAGGGAACTATGCATATGACTGTTATTAAAACCATGTTTTGTAAAAAGTAATGTTTTGTATTTGCTCTAGATCATGTGGCCTGGACACTTTTGAGTAGATTGTACAAGTTAAGACTATAAAACCCTGTCAGTAATTAGTAAATGAAACTGGAAATGCCTCCACTGAAGTCAGTTGCATAAAATAAAAGTGAAAAGTGTGAGATCACAACTGGCCCTTCGTTAAGATCCATAGGGGATCACCCTATGAAGTCAGTAGCAAGGTTGCCACTAATGTTGCCCAGCTGAAGACAAGATCCAGAAAGCCAGTGGGAAGGGCCAGCAGTGAGAATGTTATCCACTGTAAGTAACACTAAAATAATCCTGCTGGTTTGGGGTGGGTTCTTTTCAGAAATGTTCTAGCCTAGGCTCTTCAAGCCTTACTCATGTCTGGTAAGACATACCTGTAAGGATACTCATGCAAGTAAAATACAGGGGTGAACCTGAGATTCAGGTGCATGTGAACAGGCACATGGCTGCCTGGTCATCTGTGGTGGATCTGGAGCTCTCTCAGTGGCCTGGGCTACAATAAAACATGCAGTGCCACTCTGATTTCAGGAATAGATTCCACAGTGTCTTTCTTCACATTCGGATTTCTCCCTTACATTCTGGCAAGCTAAGTAGAGACATAACTCTGTGACTAATGCTAATGTTGCAGTAGTAAAATATTGGGCAAAAAAATAGGAAAACCAGACCCACTTGCCCATAAGGATGATTTAATTAAAGTTTCCACTGTTCCAAAGTAGGTATGTTTCACATCATAAAGAATTTTTCTGTCATGAAAATTATTTTTTTAAGGGAAGGGAGAATTTTGTTTGCAGCAAGCTGACTTTACTGGTAGGCAATTAAATATTTCTTTGGATTGCTGTTCAAAATTAATTGCTCATTGATGTGGAAAAAACAGCTATAGTCTTGCTGTGGATTCAGAGGTTTGCAACTGGATGCATCTAATTCCAAGAAGAGAAAGAAAAAAAAAAAAAGACCTAGAAAGAGTATTGTAATTACTGTCATACAAAAACCTGCTTCAGTCCAGATGTAGAAGTGGATACGACAGAAATATTAACATCTAGCAGTTTGCTGCAGGGCAATGACATATGAAATTTTACATATGTCTGCAGAATGGACATACTATGAGATCCTTCCAGAATCCCTTAGGTTTGCTTTCATTTTCCTACAGAAAGTGCAAATCTACGGTAATCTGAGGTTTTGGACGGTGTCACAGACACCTCTGTATAAAACTTGGATCCTAAACTTGCATACCTTAGCAACACTGTCAACTCTGTACCCTTGCAAATAATTCCACTGAAAGTAATGAAATTAGTGGTGTGAGTAAACGTTAAAGAACTGGTTCCCAATTTCAGGTTTTCCCCTTCAGTGTACAAAAAAGCCTGTTGCTCTGTGATGACGTAGGGGCTTGCAGTGAGGCCAGAGCACTGACAGAAGTGTCAGGTGTTAGGAATCACAATTGCAGAAGTTCAGATCTGTTTAGCAAGGGAGTCAATCCTCAGAAATCAGACAATGACAAATGCTATGTGCAGAATTCCTACTGCAGTCAGTAGCTGCTTGCAATCTGGAAGCTTTCAGAGGCGGCTATCATAGTTAATTTTCCTTTTTTCCCCCAAATTTTATGAATTTGACCACAGTCTATGTGGCTTCAACCTTAATAAAAACCAATAAAATTCTGGGATGATTTAGGCTGGAACAACCTCTGAGTGACTCTCCTAATCCAAATCTTTCCATTCAATCCAAATTGATTTCATTATCCCCAAGTCATTTATTTAAATAAATGGAGTCAGAAGAGATCATAACTTAATTATTGGAAACATCGGTTGGCACTAAGTTTGGAATTAAAATTATTCGCTTTGAAGTCCTTAAGTGCACAGTATGACAATACCAGTTGTCAAGGAACATTTTTCCCTTGGTTAAAAAGGACAAGCTGAGCATAAAATGGAAGAATGAAACCTTAAATTATCCACGTAAAATAATTCTTCCCATCAGTGGGAGACTTAGGCACTTGAATTCTCTTACCAAGTCATTTACTCTTCCATGCAGAGATAGGTGCAAGAACACGGGACAAATTTCCTAAAATGTAAAAACCTGATATGACACCAGAGTTTTACTAATGATACGATTATGCATTTTAAACAGCATCAGCCTCATTATTGATGCGCCAGGAAAGCCAGTTGTAACTGTTCACCTGTAACACTTTAGACTGGGGTAGACGCCTGTCACTTCCTTACAGAAGTCAAGCGGGCTGGTCAGGCATCATTTGCCTCTGCCCCTGGTCACCTTCTTGTCCTTTGTGGGTATGGTATGTTTGGTAGTGGTTTTCTATGTACTTTGCCACAGCTGACATGATGGTCTAAAACTGAGTCATATCCCCCCTCAACTTTCCCCTCTCCAAATGAAGACTATTTTTAGACTCCCCTTGTAAGGCAACTCCTCCATTTCCTTGTTTAGTTAGTTGCCTTTCTCTGGCTCTTCTTTAAACTCGCTGGTTTGCAGCAGTGCAGTGAGAGAGATCCTACTGGAGTGCTGTACCATGATTCAAACAGCCAAAGTAAAGGTTTTGGTTCACTCACCGATAGTTCAGAAAGGTGGAGGAACAGGAAAATAAGGAGCGTGGCTTGGCAGTCTGGAAGCAGTCACTGGCACAGCAGAGCAGAAAGCAGTACTGTATATGCAGTATATCTACAATGGCTGTGCATTACAGTCAGTGAAATGGGCTGCAGTCCATCTTGCTTTGAGATTTAAGGAGTAATACAACACTGAGTATGACTTTAGAAAAATATCTGGGAAGGAGACTATTCAACTGTTCGTCTTATACATTACTATTTCCTTAAATCACTATATAAAACCAACCCTCCATCCACAGAGGAACTTGCTGGTCTTTCTATTTGCAGATTATTTTATTTTCAAAAGAGCTTTGCTCTATCCAGATACCTTAAAGAAGTACCCAGATATTCCCAAGCAGACAGCAGTTTTAAGAGGAGGTTTGGGACGTTCCTGGGAGCAGAGATGCTGTTGTAAATCTAGTATATAACAAGTTGTACATCAGGTTATTTGCTATAGATTCCTGCTTTTCAGTTTTTCCTCTTGGCAGTTCTAAGTTTGACACTTTCACTCACTGTCCCCCCAAAACCCTGTATCCTGGAAAGCATTCCAGAAGATCATTTTACTATATTAAAAAAATAAAATTAGCTTTATATAATTACTTTACCTCTTGCACTGAGTAAGGGATTATTAATACAAGTAGCAGAAAAGAAGAATGTCTGTTTTACTGCGCTCAACTCTACAGCAGCAGTCAAAAGTTGTAGAAAAACAATACTGAAGTCTGAATCTCTCTCCAGACCAGTTTGTTACACAGAGCTGTCCAGGGCAACATCTGACATTTGGCTAGAAAATTTATGTGTAGATATGCAAGCCTCAAATCGTCAAAACCACGCCAACAATTTAATGTATCTTTTTTAATAACACAAAAGCTCCCCCCAAATTATTCAAACATTAACAACCAAGCCACTGAATACAAAACCAATTCCTCCAGGCAAAACAGTAGAGGAATGAATATACCTTTCATTTTTAATTAAACATTATCCTTAAAAATTATAGTATGTATGGATTTTACTAATTTCTATTCTAAATGGTGTTTTGGCCTGGTTTCCTAGGCAATCTCCCCACACCTTTGATACATCACAGCGGACTTCCAATACACACGTATAAAGCTGTCGACACGAGTCCTTCAGAAACAGAGAGTACTGCTTAGTTAAACAACATTGGAATGATGTATAAACCATCAAGGACATTCAAAATCCTGAAGCCAGTGTTTAAACAGAGGCAATTCCAAATCAGTCTATCCCCTGCCTGAATGCAAGGTGCCTTAAAAGCAGTTCTCCCAGAAGCCTGTGTGGAAGCACTGGATTTCAGCCTGTATCAGATCTTCCTGCAAATTCCTCCCATGCCCTTCTTGACAAGAACCTACTGTTCCCTTATCCTGCT